AGCGTGCCCGACCTGGGCAGGAAAAGAGTGCGAAATTCCCAACTTTGGAGGCTCCTCTCTCGGTCGTTTTCCACTCGTTTCGGCTAACTTTTGGACGAGCGATCATCTCTCGGAACGGTCTCGAAGCGCGGATGCTTTTTCCAGAACGCGCGCGCGCGGAACACTCATGTTGAAGCGAACTTGAATCACTCTTTTCCTGCCCTGTGCCCGACGCCGTCTTGTGCGTCTTGACGAGCGCGACGCGGCGGTGCGCGCGCGCGTGGGCGCTCGCGGCGACCGCGGCCTCGAGGACGCGCTCCACGGCCGCGGTCGACGCGTTCGCGCCGAGCTTTTCGACGCGCGCGGCGACGTCGGCGACGTCGGCGCCCGGGCACTCGAGGCCCGCGGCGGCGGCGGCCTCGTCCGCGACGTCGAAGGGCGCGGCGGGTTTTGTCGCTCTTGCGGAGCAGAGTAGCGCGACGAGCAGCGCCGTCCGCATGTAGCGGCCCCCGCCGACCCCGGGGCGACGACGACCGCGCTCGGCGGGTGACGCCCCGGGGGCGGAACGGGCGCGGTCGCGGTCGTAGCGAACGCTTTGACTCGGGCGTCGCGACGCGTCGTATAAGCGTGTGGCGAATTTATAGTGATGCCACCTTACTCTGCGCCCTGTGCCGCCGCACGGGCCCCTGCGCGACGGTCCGGCCCCGGGACGGGGGGCGGGGACGGCGGGCACGGGGGTTCCGGCACGGTAAATGCGCTCAGGGCGCGCGGCCCGGCACGGGCCCGGCACGCGGCACGGCACTCGGCACGGGCCCCCGGGCACGGGCCGGGCACGGGCCACGCGGCCCGGCACGGGCCCGGCACTCGGCACGGGCCCCGGGCACGGGCCGGGCACGGGCCGGGGAGGCCCGGCACGGGCCCGGCACGGGGCCCCGGGCACGGCCCGGGCACGGGCCGGGGACGTGGCCGGGGACCGCGGCACGCACCGTCGCGCAGGGGCCCCTCGCCGCGGGCCCACGAGCCCTACTGGAGCGCGTTCTACGCGACGCGGAAGCGCGAGCCGACGAGCTACCGCATGGCCGAGTACGTGCGGTGCGTCTACTGCCCCGCCGCGCCCGCGGAGCCCATGCCCGCGCCCCGCGCGTCCGCGGCCGCGCGGGACGGGTCCGCCGCGTCCATGCAGCGGCGCCTCGTGCGCCTCGCGACGGCGTCGACGAGGGGGTAGTCTAGACCTGTCGTCGCTGTCCAGCGACTTCTGGTCTCGACTCGG